GAGACGAGCGGGACGACCTCGAGTGTCCAGGGTGTTTGGGGAACCACACACGAGCAAACTGTCGGTTCCTAGACACCACGTGCAGCCGCTGCCTGAGGCGAGGACACATCGCAAAAGCATGCCGAGCCTCGCGCCCAAATTCCAGGAAACAGCGTTCGCCCCCACAGAGGCACACGTCTCCACCACGACGATCCCCACCGCGCCGCTCACCGCCACGCTGCTCACCGCCCCATAAACCACATGAGAACAAATGGAAGGGGTCAGCCTGACCCGAAGGGAGGCGCGACCAGAGAAGGGGCTACGACGACGACCAGGACGAGCGTAAAGTGCATCACATGGTTGTCAGCCACACCAACTCGACTGGCGCGGAAAAGTTTTTCGCAACGGTCATGATCGGGAGGCAACCATGTAAGATGGAGGTGGATCCATCTGTTCCATCATGTCGTGGGACAAGCTCAAAAGACTGCTGCCGGAGCTGTCCCACACCGCCCTGGAGAAACCAACGGGACAGCTCGTAGACTTCAACGGGTGGACGTCTCGTTCCGGGGACACAAAGCTCGCCTGCCGCTAACCGTTGTGGAGGGCCATCGACCCACCTTGCTCGGCGTAGAGTGGCTCAAACCCCTGGGCCTGGGATTCACCGGCCTACACAGAATCCACAAGGAGGAGTTCGAGCAGCTGTTGGAGGAGTTCCCGGACGTGTTCGACGGCTCACTGGGTAAATACCGGGGGAAACCCATTTCTCTGAACTTAGATCCCAGTGTTGCCCCGATCCGATTGAAGCCCTGCCGTGTCCCTTTCGCCCTACGACACAAAGTGGACGAACAGCTAGACAAACTGCTAGCCCAAGGGGTCATCGAGCCGGTGGACCACGCCAAGTGGGAAACGCCCATCGTCCTCCCCCCTTAAGCTAGATGGATCCTTGCGGGTGTGTGCCGATTACAAAGGGACCATCAACAAGGCGTTACAACCCCACGCGTATCCCGTCCCCGTAGTACAGCATCTTTTACACTCGTTGGGGGACGGGAACGTGTTTGCGAAGCTGGATCTCGCTCAGGTGTACCAGCAGTTGCCGGTGGACGAAGCCACCGCAGAAGCCCAGACCATAGTGACTCATCGGGGGGCGTTCAAATG